GATGTGAGTGGAGCGAGATTTCAAATCATCCAATGTCACTCAATCAATATAATTACGTCAGCTGTGACTTTTTAAAAATAAACACCCAATCGGTAAAGCAGGAATTGGTGAGCTCTCCAAAGGCGTGAGCACGTCGATCGTGATTAAAACATCATGTATTTTTAAAATCCGTCTGTCTGCTAGTGACGTGGCCGTTATTTATTGTTGATTGATTTTTTTTCCGTCAATTCTATCGATTTATTTGCCCACCATGGACAGTAGTTTACGAAATTGTTTGAAGTTGCTCCACGAGAACGACAGTGAAATCAGGAAGAATGCATTACACGTACTGTGGGAGCTCTGTGAGAATATTATTAAGCATCCACAGGATCCAAAGTATCGGAGGATCAGAGTTGCTAATCCAGTCATTGCTGAGAAATTACTTCCGGCTAGTGGAGCTGTTGAGTGCCTGTTCGAAATTGGATTTCAGGAAGTAAGGCGATAATACCAGAGATTCATTGAATTTGGTTACACTCTGTGATTCTATGATTCAGAAATAGATAAATTGGGATGGATATTTATAGATCTGTAATCGATGGTTTTTTCAAAAATGTCAAGTACGCAGTACAGTCCAATAAAATGCATTATTTATTACATTTCGATGGAAAGTAGAATTCTATTTCTAATTGAGAATTCAATTATTCATCATTATAAAAACTGATGTTGGTACATTTGATTATCAACTTCATTTTACTCTTCGATAAAAATTCATGAAATAATCGGGAAGTTGTTATGACTAGTGTGCATTGCGAACTTGCTTCGTGAATATTCTTTTCAATTCTGGCCTAACTTATTTATATTTATAATGGCTTCAAAAAACAATTTCATCAGAAAATTAAAATTTCTATCATTTATTAATAAGAAGGGATTATAGTAAAAAAAATTGATTTTAGGCGAAGTTTTGCAAATTTTCGTGAAGTAATTAAATTTTCAAAAATGATAATTGAAAGTCTATTTGCAGTCTGAAACTGTACATGACTAATTTCACTCCTTCAGACAGTCTCCACTTTTTTATTCCTATTTCTGTAAAGAATAGAGATGCATTCCGAATTAATAATTCAATGATGAGAAAATTATGAGGACCAAAGTTGCTGAAATATTAATCACTTCATTTTACTTTTAAACTCATAAAATAACAGAAAATTTTCTATTACTAATTATTCTTGAAACCCTTTCCATGAGTATTTGATCTGTAACAATTTCTCCTAGAAATCATTTTGTCAAATTCGTATTTAATTTATTCGTACACTGTTAAAAATTTCCGGTACACGTTTCAGAATTTTTTATCGAATTCAATTACCACTGAAATTTCAACGAATTTCGTCACTGGAAATTCAGAATTTTATGGAAAAATCAAAGAGAACTTTAAATTTCAGTTCCATTTTTCCCTGAAAGTGAATAGAAAACCAAAAAATTCCAGTAAATATATTCTTGAATTTTCAGGACAGTGACACTGAATGCGATTTGAGGAGAAAAATTATGAAGTTTCAGATTTCACAGAAAGTTCAATGTAATTGAGTACTAAATGTTCATATCAGATTGCAAATTGAAATAAATTGAAATTTTACTGAACTTTCAGTGGAACCGGAAATTTCAGGATTTTTTCCCCCTAAATCGCATTCAGCGTCACTGTCCTGAAAATAAGTAGTCAACTATCCATGAAATTCCATTTTTTTCTACCAGTGAATTTCAGAATCTTGGATGCGCAAGAACTTTTTCCCATTGTCCTCCTTCAATTCAATTGAGAAAATTGATGATGGAAAATCCACCTGGAGTCCGAAACCGTAGATGAAATTCAAATTCTCTCGACCAATTTCTCCCTTCCCCACTGAATACCTCCCTAAATTCTAGGATGGAGAGTTTTTCTCACTGCCAACCGACAGTCCACTGCCCCGAATACGTGAAATTCAGCGTCTCCTGACAGAGATCCAAGCGAAGAAGCCAATATCCTCACCACCCCCACCAACCCCTGGAAAATCGACAGGAGCAAGGCCAAAGGATCGGCCAAAACCAAATTTCCTGCAGCAAATCGAAAGAATGTTTGACAACGTCCTCGCATACGAGGATCAAGACCTCCAGGAAATGACTCGTCACATGGTGCCTATCACAGATCTCAAATTGCGGGCAATGGAGCGCATGAGAGCACTCCAAAGGGATCTGAAACAAAGGGAGGAGAGCGAAGGTGTGGGAGAACCGGAAAAGGAGAAAACTGGAATTGAAAATGACGTGGGGATAGAGGATCTCCTGCTCGGGGAACTTCTGGCATGGTTCAAGAATGATTTTTTCTCGTGGGTCAATACACTCAAGTGCAGCTTCTGCTCGGCTACCTGCAAGTACAATAGAACTGAGTACAAACGTGATCCCAGAGTTTCGAGGATTGAAATTCATAAGTGCGAATTGTGCGAGACTGAGGAGGGGTTTCCCAGGTATACCGATCCTAGGATTTTGTTGAAAACGAGAAAGGGACGGTGTGGGGAGTGGGCCAATGCCTTCACAGCCATCTGCAGAGCTTTTTCCTATGATGCTAGAATTGTTCATGATGAGACTGATCATGTGTGGACGGAGGTAATATTTTTAGACAAAACCAGTTTTATTTTAATAACGAGTGTTTTTTGAGGAAAAGGTGAAATGTTTGCTTTGTTGGAAATTTAATTGTTTTTTATGAAAAAACCTTTTGATATTTTTGTTTAAAATTATCTCTTTTGGTGGTAAATTTACATTTGAGAGGAATTTAAAATTTGTAAACGTGGAAAAGGAGAAATTATGATGGACATAAGTCACATTTTCCCACAAAAATTGTTTTCTTTTCCATAACGAGTGTTTTTAGAGGGAAAGGTCAAATAATATTTTTTGTTGGAAGCTTAATTGTTCTTTATAAAAAAGATCTTTTGCCAGAATTGTTGATAATGATCGATCATGTGTGGACAGAAGTAAAAATTTTCGCACATAACATGGAATGCAAAAATTAGATGGAGACTATTACACGAGAAAAAATACGTGTCTAATATTTTTTATCAAATTTCCACATCCAACATTAAGGCACTAAAAACAAAATTCCAATGAAAAGAACAAGTCTTACCAAATCTGAAAATAATTCACACGTTAATAATTACAACGCCTCGAAAACTTTGTGCTGAATATTTCAAGTCTCTTGAGAAAAATAAACTGTTGTTACCAGAATCACTTTAGTTGTTCAAAAAAATTCAAGAACAGATAAAATTTAAAATTAAAATCAAGTGAAATTGCCATCTTCTTGTTTTATCACTTCATTGCACGAAAAAATCCGGTGGATTCCCGTTAAAAAATTAAAATTTATGCCATTTTTCAACATTTTCTACTCATACAGGTCTGGTCAATAGCTGGCAACAGATGGATGCACGCTGATCCCTGCGAAAATACCATGGACCGACCCCTTCTCTACGAGAAAGGATGGAAAAAGAAATTATCCTACGTAATTGCCTATTCCAGGGACGAAATTCAGGACGTGACGTGGCGTTACACTAGGGAACAGCCTTTTGTGATGAAACGCAGAAACTTGTGCACTGAAGAAAATCTCGCTGAACTCATTTGGCGTCTCAATGAGGAGCGCCAGAGTTCTCCGGGATACAGTCAAGTTAGGAAGAAATATGTTGTTAATAGAAGGCTCATGGAGTTGGCGGAATTTCTGAGACTACCTGGCCAGCTTGACAACGATGGTAATGAGTATGGGGGGAGGATTTCTGGGGATGCTGCCTGGAGAGCTTCTAGGGGAGAGACATCGGTAAGTCGGTCGTCATGAAAAATTCAGCCGCAAATTCAAATTTTCAAAACTTGAAAAGTGGATTTTTCTCATCTTGTTGAATATTGAATTATCCTCATTACAAGGAGTTTTGAAGAGAAATAACGAAGGAATCTTTTCGTTGGAAACTAGATTCTCTGCATAAAAGATCTCACATTTTTATAAATCATTCGTTTCAGAGATGAATACATTATTAACAACAATTTCAAATCTCGAAACCTTACAATGTGGATTTTGTCATTCTGTTGAAGTCTGAATTATCTTGATAATGAGTGGTTTCAGAGGGAAATGTTGAAGAACATTTTTCGTTGCAAATTGAATTCTGCGCAAAAAATTATTTTTGACTTTTTTCTCTAAACTCATTCGTTTTGGAGAAAAATTCACAATTGAAAGGATTTAAAAATTGTGAAAATTGTGAAGCAGAATTTCCTCGTTTTCTTGAGCATTCAATTCCTTGATTATGAATAGGTTTAGAGGCCAATATAGGGTCATTATTTCATGCGCAATCCAATTCATTTCCAATCATTTCCCCCAATAAGCTAATTTATTTTACGAACCCAATTTTCCACTAAACCCTTCACCACACGAATTAATCTCCACTCTTCCAGGATGAGAATAAATCCCACATATGGAAAATCCCCGAAGGCATTGACAGTTACCTCCTCCGCCTCTACCTCGTAAAAGATTACTACGAAATCCAAGACGAGGAGGGTAAACTCTTCGAGAAGCTAGAAGGCTGGCGAGAGGGAACATCAAAAACCAAAGGAATATTCAGGAACGTAGAGCACGATTGGCAGATGGTCTACGTCTCCCGAAGTCCAGGTGTCCACCTGGGGAGCATCACCTGGAGTTTCGAAGTAGGCGATAAGACCGAAAAAGTTCAAATAAAATCCTTCAAGATATCATCGACAACAGCGACGTTCCAAGGTGCCTCAATAAGATGGAAAATTCAGGGAATAACCCAACAGAATAAATCAATCACACTAACACTTGATAACTCCAAACCCATGAGCACAAGTGTATTCAAAGATGCCAAGGTGATAAACGTCACTGCTGAATTATCTGGTGGCAGTGGAGAAGTCGCTTGGCAACACGCACAACTATTTCGTCACAGTCTAGACGACATTGACGAGTGTTCCTTGTCAATATCCTTGGAATTATCCTAAAATTAAATACATCAAAAGACAACAACACTCTTTATCAATCTAACATGACGTTCACATTAAAATCTATCGTTTAAACCTATTTACATTGTTTTTGTTGTTTTATTATTTATGTCATTTGTGCAGTGGTATGCACTGTGGCGTGTAAAATAAAAAGAAATTAGTTATTTATGTACAATTGGTTACTTAATACCCCGGAATTTCCCAACCAATTTTACACAGCATCCTTTATTTATGAAAATTGTAGATAAGTATTTTTTATTTTGTAAAATAATGAAAATCAAAGTTTGGCTCTTTATTTTACAAAATAAAAAGAGCTTAATGTTTCTCATGCTTTATCCATCTGCTAATTTTATCAAGCAAAAAATCCCATGTAAAAATAAATGGCAAGTATTTTCCTCTCAGTACTGTCCAATCAAATCGCTGATGTCTCAGGGGCCTCAGAGGACTCAGAGCCTGAGCTCTCAGGGGCATAGGACTTGATAAGCCTCTATTCGTCTGAAGAATATAATAATCGTTCTTCCCAGTGACTTGAGCCAACCCAAACTCTCTGATCTTAACTCTATTCTGGCAACTTTTTCGTCACAGTCCAAATACAATTCACGAAATTAAATTCATCAAAATACAACAACTCTTTATCGTTTTAAAATCATGTTCACATCAAAATCTATTGTTTAAATCTATTTACATTATTTTTCATATTATTATATCCTATCTATGTCATTTGTGCAGTGTCATGCACTGTGGCGTGTGAAATACAAAAACAAAATTATGTACAGTATACTACTTAATACCCCTGAATCTCCCTGAATTTCGCACATCTTCCTGCTACTTCAGCCGAAAATACAATGAAAAATGTTAGATCAGTATTTTCTTTTTCGTAAAATAATGAAAACGATTTTTCCCTCCTTATTTTACGAAATAAAAATACACTTAATATTTCTCATGCTCTCTTCATTTCTCCTATTTTATCAAGCAAAAAATCCCATGCAAATTCCCAGTCACCTCCAGAAATAAATGGCAAGCGTTTTCCCCTCAGTACTGTCCCATCAAGTCCCTGATGTCATTACACAGCATAGCGAAGTCCGGCCTCTGATGACTGTGGAGATGCCAGCAGGGATACATCAGCTTAACATAAACAGTCTGAGGACAGTTGGGTGGACAGGGTAGCCTAGTCCCCCTCTCGAGAGCTTCAAGCAGCTCGGCAGAGCCTTCCTCCTCATTCTCCCCAGTTCCCCCAACTCCAGGCAACTTGGGATCCTCCCCCAGTCCAAATGTCTCATACATAGTCACCCCGAAGGACCAGACGTCGGACCTTGGTGAGAATTTACCATCCCTCAGGCTCTCAGGGGCATACCACTTGATAGGCAAGTCTCTGTTCGTCTGAAGAATATAATAATCGTTCTTCCCAGTGACTTGGGCCAACCCAAAGTCACTGATCTTCACTCTGTTCTCATCAGCCACGAGGATGTTCCTGGCAGCGAGATCCCTGTGGACAATGCTCTTCCTCCCCAGATATTCCATGCCCGTGGCAATGTCCAAGGCAAATCCCAGCAGTCTCTTGTGCGTCAAACTCTCCCTGTGAATAGCCAGATAACTCTGGAGTGATCCGTGCTTAACGAACTCCATCACCAGACAGACTTCGGGCTCTGAAATCACCCCTAAAATCTCGACAACATTCTGATGCTTCAGCGTCTTCATGATCTCAATCTCCCTTTCAAAGTCCCTGAGGTCAGCCTCAAGAGCTCGAGTCTTGAGTTTCTTCACTGCCACCTGCTGGGGCTCGGTGTCCTTTCCATTATCCCTCTCCAAGGTTCCCCTGTAGACTTCGCCGTAGAACCTGTAATGAGTTTAGAGTCATTCCAATGTCCTGCGTTCATCCCCAGTTATAAAAATGATTCATTCAATTTAGCGCTTGTGATCAGTCAAATGCTCTCTCGTGATTATTAGCATTTTTATTAGTCGGAAGCGTGGAGCAAAGGTATTCTCTTTCTTCATAAAAATTATACATGAATGATTGATAATAGTGCGTTTGCGATTAACATTCATATATTTAATCTTTTGTATTTCCCTTTTAAAAGGCTCCGTGTAACGTTTTTTGCGACCGATCTATTCGGCTATAATTTAACTATTCGTAGATATTAATATAACCATAATTATAGTTATAAATAGTGACACCTATAAATATCCATAAGTAAAAATTATTTCTATAAATATAATTATAGCTGTACCTAGAGAATTTCAAATATTAAAAAACGACAATATTCTGAACAAACATAACAAAAAAGTAGTGTAAATTTTTTTCTACAATACAATTACATTCATTTCTACAGTTTGAAATTTGTCAATGAATTTTGATAATTTCTATAAGTTACCCATTACAACAACAGGGATATGCAATGAATTTCATGAGGGATGAATTGATTCTTTAAAGAAAAAACAACTACAAGGCCCAATGGATGAATTGATACCCTAGTACGATCCAATAATGACTCGAGACTTGTCAACAACTAATCTTAAGAGAATTTAAAGAAATTATCTGCAGATTAGAAGTCGGATTACTAGTATTGTGATTGTCACGTTTAGTTGAATTTGACGGATAAATTTTCCAACTTGACGTAGTTAAAAATTATTTAAAACAATGGCTGGGGGGGGGGGGAATTTTTAGAGTAAATGAGAGTTTGTTAAACCGATGAAAATAAAGTAATTGCCTTGGTGAGCAGTGAGATTTACCAGTCGAAACCTTGGCAAAATTAGATTTTTCACATTAATTCATTGTAGACATTGTATACTTTAAAGAAAATAATTTAAGGTAACCAATTTATCGTTTCGATTTTCATTTCTCAAAATGATAAATGAAATATTTATTTCAATGCAAATAAAAATATTACAAACCCCTGGCCAATTCTCCCCTGGAGGATGACGTTGCAGTCGGCATCGAGCTCGAAGATGCCCTGCATCTGCCCCAGGGGTCCTCCATTGTGGGCTGATCCTGTTGACGACACGTCGTGAGGGGCACCAGCCCCGCCATTCTCAGCCAGCCAGCCCAGGTAAGCTGAGAGTTCCTCCTCCGCCTCGTGATCAGTCTCTGAGAGGCGAATCAATCGTCCACTGTCCTCTGGATCGTCCCAAGGGAGGCTCGTCCTGTCTGTGAAAATGCTACTAGCTCTTGATTCACAGTCAGACGATGAGTTCTCCACTGCTTCTGAATCCTCGTCGTCTTCCTCGCTTTTTGAATTGGCATTGAAGAGCTTAGGGAAGGCTGTGGCGTAGGAGTGAGTTCTTCTCGAGTTGTAGACTTGGTAGAGAATTCCATTTATGTCTCTCATGATGGCTTGAGGTCTCTTTGGGAGGCCCTCGGGCTCCCCCCAGCACTCGGTCATCAGTTTGTACACGTCTGTGGGACACCCAGTGGGCATTGGCAGGCGTTTTCCACTGGCGTAAAATTTTTTCACTGACTCTATGTCCCTGTGGGTCGGGAGGATTGCTCCTCTTGAAAATATCTGCCACAGCGTTGTGCCCAGGGCCCACACATCTGCTCGAGAACTTCGTCGGGCTGAGTCTGGGTTCAGGTAGCACTCGGGCGGCAACCAGTGCACGTCCGCTGAAGTGTAACTGTACATCCCTGGGTCTGCGAGCTTTACGATGAAACTGTTCTCCGTGTGGGCGTGCACTAGCAGCTTTCGACAGCGAATGTTGCCGTGGACTACACCACTCTCTTCCTGGAAATTCAAGAGTTTTGTATTTGAATGTAGGATTTTTGTATTTGAATTTGTTTATATAATTGTTTTTCTTTGGAAAATTGAATGAAATTTAGCGATTGATGAATTACATGATTGACAGTTCAATTTTTTGCATTTTGCTTCATATTTAAGTATGCTGCTGAGGAGTAACCGTGAGCAAAAATGTCAAAAAATGTTTTTCCTGGAAGGATAATTTTTTGAAGTCCTCTCGAAATTTTCCTCACAAACTGTCGGTTGAGAAATCATTTTTAATGTGTGAAGTAGATATTTTATTCGAAATTTCATCCTCTACAAAAAAAGGTCCCTCGAATTTTTCGCATGGAAATCCCTGTTTTCGAGATGAATTGGAAATTAGTAAATATTCCAAGTCTGCAATTGTGTTGAAATCATGCTACATGAGGAGGAATTGTTAGAAGTCATTTTTTAATGAAATCCCTTGTTTCCAATGTAAATGGACGACTAACAAAAACTTCAAATTCCGAAACAAAGGAATTTGAATCTTCACCACTAGTTGGATATTCAATTGTCTTGAAATGAGTGACTTGAGGTGAAAATATCTGCAAACTATTCCAGTCGTTAATTTTCTATCTTCTAAAATCATAAAATGTCGATTATTTACATTCAGTTCAATCTCCAGTTACCTGACCAGTCAGTGACTCAAGGAGAAATTGTCCAGACATTTTTCATGTAAAATTTCATTTTCCACAAACAAAAGTTTTCCTTTTACCTCGACAATGACTACCCTCAGAAAGAGATATCAAAAGCTCTTTTCGTAAATTCAATTCTCTACAAAAAACCCAAAAAAATAAAAAACAAGAACAAAAACTCAAGACCAAAAAAAACTTTATTGACAAACATCCAAAAAACTCACCAAATACCACAGAGCAGTGGCCAACCCCGCAGCAGCTTCCACCAAATCAACAGTCTTGACAGTCTGTGGAGAAGTATTCCTCAGATAAGCATCCAAAGGGCCGTGCTTGACAAGTTCCATCACCATGCCCACCGCAGGTGCCACCGTCAGTCCATACAATCTGCAGAACCAAGAAAACCCCTTAAAATCCCTGGATTCCCTGCAGCCTTCCCTCGACTTACCTCACAAGAGACCCAGACCTCAGCTGCCCCCACCTCGACGCCATCTGCAGAAACTCCCTCGTCAGCCTGGACTCCTCCTCCTTCAGCACCTTGATGGCAGCCTCCAGCTTCTTCCCCTTCTTGACCCTCCACATGGCCCTGTACAAAGTCGTGGGAGAATTCCTGACTTCCCCATTATCACAGCTCTTGGCGAACGGTTGTGCCTTATAAATCTGCAGCTGCTGAGGAGTGATGCACCTGGGATCGCCCTCCAGCAGCGAGGCAATGACATCCTCATCAGCAGCCACATCATTGCCAACTCCCTCCACCGCGCAAATCAGAAGTGGCGATTGGTCGTATTCAGACGGAGGGAGACACTCCGAGAGGTACAGCGACCCATCAGGATCATGATGAGAGGCTATCACCTGCCCCAGCGACTGATAAACCTTCACAGAATCAGAGAGAATGAACTCCTCAGGCGCCAACTGCTCGATTTTATGAGTCCTGGGTTTGCAGTCCTTCCCACAGGCGTCCAAATAATAAACATTGTACTTGGTCTCACTCTCACGAAGAATGAAGGTCCCCGCTCTGTTCGAGCGTTTCTCCTCGAGCTTCGCGTACGAGAACTCGCCCCCCACAGGCCCATGGCACTTCAGCTTCAGCAGTCTTTCCAGGCTCGGGGTGACGACGTCTCTGCAGAGATTAAACGTCCACTTCACCGCGAGTCTGTAGTAGCCATCGAGGGCTGAGACGAAAGACGTCAGAAGAGCGTTTGTGGAGAATTTCAGGTACGAAGGGATTCCATTCTTCCTGGAGACCTCCACTGTGCTGTCCTGCCTGATGGAGATGAAGCACAGGTCTTCGATGGCACACAGGGACGTCCACTGGGCGTTCTCAGTCTCACAATAGGTGACTTCAACCGAGTTCACTCGTAAGAGGACTCTGCAGGGCGGGTTGGGGATGCCCTTGTCCATCAGGGCTTTGTACTCCTCGTAAGGATAGTTGGGAGCCATTATCTGGAATTGGTTGAGGTACTGCTCCTTCACGTATGACGCGTCTGGCCCGGAGATCTTGGAGAGGGCCTGGTGGATCGGTTTTTTTATGAAGAATGAGTGTCGTTTGATGCACTCTTTGGGTATATACTTTTTGTAGTCGGATTCTACTATCTCCCTTGGCACGTCCTTCTCCAACATCACTCGGTACATGTCGCTGACCCCTAGGCCGATTAATTCGCGCTTGTGACGCTCGTAAATTATGTCCGGGACTTTGTTCTCTAGGACGTCGCAGCGGGCTTGTTGGAAGTAGTAGTCGTAGGCTTTGGGGTCGATTTGCTTCAGTCTTTGGAGCGTGGAGGGCTTGAATCTCAAGCGAAATTCGAATTTTACTTTGTCTTTGGAGTCTAGTTTGTAGCCGGGGGGGTACCACAGGCGCGTTGAACGGTTACGGAGGGCGAAGAGGTGCCTGGCAACTGGTCCTATTTCTATCATTTTGCATACCTGGGCAGCGAAATTATTGATTGATTAACGATTTTAATTATGTCCTGAAATATAGGGGAGGGTGGGGTAAAATGGACACTAGACTTTTTTAAAATTGTTCATAACTCAAAAACAAATTTATCAATTGAGCTCAGTTTAGGCTCGTCGCAAAGGCAAATAATTGTTCTTTGTATTAAAAAAAAAATATTAAATTTTTTCAACATTTCAACCCATCATTAACATTTTAAAAAAAGTCAAAAGTGCCCGTTTTACCCCAACCACCCCTACTGTGGGTCTAAAGTGCAAAGTTTTAAAGCAACTCTACTCTCACGGTGAATTTACACATTATCAAAAACAGGAAGCGGAAACTAGCGAAAAATTCGACAACAGAAGATTTGTCTTAGGAAAATCTAGGGATGCACAAATGTTTTTAAGAAATGTGCAAACTTTTTCGCACTTAAAAAACATTTGTAGATATGATTTGAAATCAAATGAATTAATTTTCTGACTTCGAAAAGAACAATTTTTCCCCTTCAAAATGAGCCTAGAGTTTACTTAATTGACCAATTTTTTTCTGAGTTGTGAACATTGACTGAAAAAAAAAATCTCCATTTTTCCGCACCCCTAATAAAAAATAAAATCGACGATTTAATGAAATACAGGGGAGAGTGGGGCAACATAGGCTTTGGCTTTTTTGAAATCCTAATAATTAACTGATTTGCCTAAATCAGCAAACGAACAAATTTTCATCTATTGATCTATAGGAGACAACAAAATTTTCTAACATCCTTTTCTTTAGCTCAAAATCATAACTAAAGAAAAAGTCTCTACAAAAATTTCGTCATTCCTTCGCCAAACAGCAATGTATTTCCCAAAAAACGAACTGCAAGTAATTTTTTAAATCCAATCTCATCGTTCCCTACTGCACTGAACAATAAATAACCTTGAAAGGGGCTTATCTACGTCCAGAGCGTATTTTTCAATGCAAAAAAAATTCTACCAATGATAATAATTCTAATGCTGCCCAGAACCGAGGAAAATTCACGCAGAAACCGGTTTGCTCAAGGTTTTAAGGATCTACTTGACGTTTTTTTCCTGTTTACCTTTATACATAAATCCTCGGCAGTCCATCCTGACGAGAAGGTAACGCTCAACACCTTGGTTTCATTCACCAGGACAACAGTCGCCACCTTGTCCTCCTCCATGTTCCTCTCAACAACCATAAATATAATTATCCCATGTGAAAATTCTCGTCTTTCGTAATTGTTTACATTATCGAGTTGTGCTTCACTCGCTCCATGATGCTATTTTTCGAGGTTAGGAGCACTGAAACTGTTCGAATCACGAGCCGGGGGCGGGGGTCGTCTGTTCCATGGAGAATCTCTATGGTTCCACCCGCCCACCGTACTGTCGCCATTTTCCCTAGAACGTGTTCAACCGGAACAAACGATCCCGCACCCCCCACTCCCGCCTCTATGACAGCTGTTCGAAAACTGCTTTAATTTCATGAGAATAACCCCGCAAGTTTACACGGGACGAAGACAGCGGCACAAGTTTACCGAGCAGGACCGCATCATTTCAGTCTGTTCAAATTGTTATTGATAATTTTTCACTGCAGTTTTCACAGTAACAGATAACATGGTGAGTTATTTATCAACTGAATCTACATTTAAACGGTTTTAATGAGGAGGTTTTGCATGAATTAGTGGAGATAATTTGATTCTTAGGGAGTGAGTGAGGTTATGAGGGAAATGCCTTGTCATCGACATGTATATTTCCTTCAAAATTACGAATATTCAGAAAAATACAATGAAAATATGGAATAGATTATTGAACAATTGACTATGCACGAGGATCCATCGAAATAAATACGACAGAAGTAGAATTTGTATGATAAAAATATTCAGTCACTTCCTGAGCTGAAGACAGAGCTCTGGAAGTCAGATAAACAACAAGAATGACCAGTTTTTCATGAAGTTAATTGAATGAATGCAAAAGAATACGAATTGCAAGGAAAAATATGTAGGGGAAGTTGGGGTAAAACGGACACTTTTGACTTTTTTTAAAATGTTAATGAAGGGTTGAAATGTTGATAAAATTTAATAATTTTTTTTTCAATACGAAGAACAATTCTTTCCCTTTGTGATGAGCCTCAACGGAGCTCAATTGATCAATTTGTTCCTGAGTTATGAAAAAAAGTCTAGTGTCCGTTTTACCTCACCCTCCCCTATATTTTTATTTCCAGGGAGAATGAGATTATTATTAAATGAGAGAGAAAGAGTCGTAGAAGAGAATGGGGTAAAATGATGAATCTGAAACTAGTGACAGATTCACCAGCGGAAAATTCGATTTCGGCGAATTTAGGGGTGCGCAAATAGAATAAAATAGAATACTTTATTTCCTTGATGCTACTGGTACAGTTTTACATTTACACAAGCCATAGAAAATATATCTGCAATGACATTCCAATAAATTATGTTTTTATATTAATAATGCATAATAACTACTGATAATACCACTGTATCACAATTTAAGCGATTATTTAATTCGTAGACTCTTAAAACTTCTTTTCACCGTAGGGTGTGCAAATATTTTCAAATCATGTACAAACCCGTGAGCACTTGGAGACATTTGCACATACAACTATTTCAGTAGTGAAGTGGTCAATCGGTTTGAGTCGACTTAGCTCCCAGTTGAGTTTTTGTTGAATAACTCGGAATTTAAGAAAGATAGCGAAATTTTTATAAAATCTTTATCGATAGTCCTCACTTTTCTCCACAAAAAATATTTCTAGGAAAATTTTTCCAACTCCTCTAGAATTTGAGATATTCATCGAGAATTGGTGCTAGAATGGGATTGACTTAAACCATTTGACCACTTCACTACTGATTTGACCCTTCCACTCTTAAAAATCCCCAAAATTGAAATTTCTGTGGTGAAAATTCCTCTAGTTTCCGCTTCATAGTATGAACCCATCTTCATTGTAAATGACTCAAGATTGAGAGAGAATCATGAAAATGTTTCCTTCATTCTGAAGACGTTCTCATGAGCTTGTTGTGTTCCAAACACTTAAAAAATTTGTGCAGTGAATAAAGTTAAAAAACGTATTCCAGGCACGTAGGTATGACACGAGAACGACGATCTTCTCCCCAGAAGGTCGTCTGTACCAAGTGGAGTACGCCATGGAGGCCATAAGCCACGCAGGCACCTGCCTAGGTATCCTAGCGAATGATGGCATCCTCCTGGCAGCCGAGAGAAGAAATACCAACAAACTCCTGGACGAAGTCTTTTTCTCCGAGAAAATCTACAAACTGAATGAGGACGTGGTCTGCTCAGTGGCTGGCATCACCTCGGACGCCAATGTCCTGACCAACGAGCTTCGTCTCATCGGGCAGAGGTACCTCCTACAGTACGGCGAGACCATTCCCTGCGAGCAACTCGTCTCGTGGCTGTGTGACGTGAAGCAGGCGTACACTCAGTTTGGTGGGAAGAGACCCTTCGGGGTTTCCATCCTCTACATGGGCTGGGACAGGCATTATGGGTATCAGCTGTACCAGTCTGATCCCAGTGGTAATTATGGAGGCTGGAAGGCCACTTGCATTGGGAACAACTCGGCTGCTGCCATTTCTTCGCTCAAACAGGAGTACAAGGAGGGAGAGACTACCCTCAAGGATGCCCAGGCACTTGCCATCAAGGTCCTTTCGAAGACACTTGATATGACTAAACTCACGGCCGAGAAAGGTATTTGAAAATTTTATTTTTAGGGAGTATGGCCAACTTTGGGGGGAATTGTTTTACTTTGTTTGAAGTTGAGTCGGAAGCCTCGTTTGAGCCTAGGTTACTGAATGTTTTACAATGATTTTATCATTTTAACTTTGAAGATTTCGAGTTGATTCTCCAGTCTGAACTGTGAAGGATAATTTTTGGTCATTTTTTGAGGAGATTCATAAAATAGTTTAAAAAATACAACTTTAGAGGGTTTGTTTTAATGATCCCTTAATAATCAATTTTGTACTCTACTCTTTCTTCCAAAACGGTTAAAAATCAGTTTGTGGCTGGAATTTCACCGGAAATAGATTTCATGCCAAGAAAATAACGTTTTTGGTAGTGTCAACAAGTAAGAGAATGTTTCAATAAAATTGTATTTTTAATGGCACATTCTCATATTTAATATTGCAGAGTATTGTTTCGCAAAATGTAATTTTGATAATGCTGATTATCCTGTTTTTGAACAATTTTGTCGCCTAATTTGATTGAAAAATTTAACTTTTAAAAATTAGTTTTTAGTAAATATTTCTCAAATTGACAGAAAGACATTTTTCTCGATAAACCTGTGCTTCAAAGAAAGCTCCCCTTATCTATTTTGAATTTATGAATCGTCAGTAAAAACTGAGCTTTCTGAACTTAATTTAGCCACTTCTTTAACGTAATGTTTCAATTAATTATTCACAAATTGTTCTTTTGTTATTTATCCAGTGGAAATGGCAACATTAACTCGGGAAAATGGTAAGACAGTAACGAGAATTCTGCCAGCAGCTGAGGTGACAGCACTAATAAAAGAGCACGATCGATTGGAGGCACTTGCCGAGCAAGCCAAGAAGGACAAGCAGAAAATCTAGAATTAGTCGCATTAAATTTTCATTGTCCTGGAAGACGAGGGGGTTTCAAACGGTATATTCAATAAATATATTTCATTTTTTCCAACAACCAGTGGGAGCTCAACTATTTATTTATCAAAGTTAAATGCGACATTTCTCCAGTTCCCTACATAATTTAAAATTCATTAATGAATGCGCTCGAGAATGGAGTGAAATGAACATTTTCAACTTTTTTGCAATGTTCATAACTCAGCATCAAATTTAGCAATTGAGTTCAGTTTAGGCTCATCACAAAGGGAAGAATTGTATTTTATATGGAAAAAATCGTCGCATTGCATCGCCAATTCAATAACTCGGTAGGATTTCTAGAATTAGTCGCATTAAATTTTCACTGCCCTGGAAGACGAGGGGGTTTCAAACGGTATATTCTATAAATATATTTCATTTTTTCCAACAACCAGTGGGAGCTCAACTATTTATTTACCAAAATTAATTGCAACATTTCTCCAATGCTCTACATAATTTAAAATTCATTAATGAATGCGCTCGAAAATGGAGTGAAATGAACATTTTCGACTTTTTTGCAATGTTCATAACTCAGCATCAAATTTAGCAATTGAATTCAGTTTAGGCTCATCACAAAGGGAAGAATTGTAGTTTATATGGAAAAAATCATCGCATTCCATTGGCAATTCAATAACTCCGTGGGATTTCTAGAATTAGGGGGTTTCTCAAACGGTATATTCAATAAATATATTTCATTTTTTCCAACAACCGGTGGGAGCCCAACTATTTATTTATCAAAATTAAATGCCACATTTCTCTAATTGTCTAGATAATTTAAAATTCATCAATGAATAGTCTCGTTTATGAGATCCCCAACCATTCTACCCACGTCTTTCTCATTCGAGAGGACGAAGGCATGTCGAAATCCGCGTTTGCAGAGTTGAGCTTGCACATCTGGATGTCTCGCTTTGAGACGGTCGTAATATCGCACTGGGGTCCAACCGTCACTAGCTCCGTAGTACAACCACAATTTATCACTGTATTTTGAGACAATTTCGTGGTTCAGCTCTCGTACTTGCTGCATCTCCTCTTTTCCCATTAGGAAAACTCGCTTGAGTACCTCTGGCTCGATCAATTGGAGCACAGGCTGCACTGATTGACTACCGAAACCCACGAATAACATTCCGAAAATTCTCACGAGGAAATTCCGCAGGATTGTGGGGAAGAATGTGAAAATCCAGGCGAGGAAAAATAGTAATGGAGCGAGTCTCAATAACTGAAATGAACGTTAAAATTCTGAGCACTGCTAGAAAATTTTAGGTGATTTCGTAATTAAAATTCACGATTTCATTTGAAAATCAATAGAAACCGGAAGTTTTAGTTCAGTTATTCTGTTGAAATTCATAGAAATCAGGAATATTCTCAGGAACATTTTGCTCCAAACTTTGCAATTCCTAGAAACAATGAATTTCATTTGTGAATCCTCCGAAACTCAATGAATTCATTGGAAACGTTAAAGAAAAAAAGCATAAAAAATTCATTTTTGAAATAAAAATACTGATGAACTCACGACATTAGTGAAGAAAATTCCACTGCGAGTGTCAGCCATATGTTCAATCGTCGGGAACAGCAAATAACATTTAACAACTCTTTTGGCGAATTCCTCATCCTCCAAAAGTTTAAGGATGAACCAAGCGCCAATGGAATGCCCCACGAGATGCACCCTCGCATCTTTCGGAATGTATTCCTTGACAAACGCCACCTGCGACATGAAAACCCCATAAATCTAGTGGCCAAGTTGTATTTTAGGCTTTTGTGCTTCAACCTTGTGCTCGATCTGGCCTTGGAGTGAGTATGCCCGACTCTGTGCATCCTCTTCCGATGGAAAACTCAGTGTCTTGGGTGGTAGTACGTGTCCAGCATGGCCCAACACCCACACTGGTGTCTCAGTAGGTAAACGCGATTTCAGGGCTTTGATGAAACCAGTGTAAAAAGTTGGAATGCCGGGATTACCGGGGATGACCAGTACAACGTCTTTGTGGCCGTCCGGTAATAGACCCTCTTCAACCCAACGACCCTCGGTTATTACGTGGGTTGGAACACCATTGCAGCGTAACATCGCCTGCTGCATCTTTATTGTTTCTGGGGGCAGCAGCGGTTTTATTGTTTTAGGGCTCAATAGTTTAGTAAATACTTTGATGGATATTTTTTTTGTCATGATGTTCTGTCGTGACACCCTTTATTCTATTGAATTTTATGAGTTTGGAGAAATAGATCTCTATTTTACTACCACTTTTGTAATTCATCAATTGAGTTCAAGGAATTTTAAATTTAAAACTCTCAAGTTGATGCGAAAATCGATAGAAGCTGTAAATTTTATTTCAATTGTTGAATGAAAATTGATAAAAATGAAGAAATTTCAGGTAAATATATTCTTGAATTTTTAATTATTGCTTGGGTTGGGACACCATTGCAACGTAACATTGTTTGCTGCATCTTTATTGTTTCTGGGGGCAGCAGCGGTTTTATTGTTTTAGGGCTCAATAGTTTAGTAAATACTTTGATGGATATTTTTTTTGTCATGATGTTCTGTCGTGACACCCTTTATTCTATTGAATTTTATGAGTTTGGAGAAATAGATCTCTATTTTACTACCACTTTTGTAATTCATCAATTGAGTTCAAGGAATTTTAAATTTAAAACTCTCAAGTTGATGCGAAAATCGATAGAAGCTGTAAATTTTATTTCAATTGTTGAATGAAAATTGATAAAAATGAAGAAATTTCAGGTAAATATATTCTTGAATTTTTAATTATTGGTTGGGTTGGGACACTATTGCAACGTAACATTGTTTGCTGCATCTTTATTGTTTCTGGGGGCAGCAGCGGTTTTATTGTTTTAAGGCTCAATAGTTTAGTAAATACTTTGATGGATATTTTTTTTGTCATGATGTTCTGTCGTGACACCCGTTATTTTATTGAATTTTATGAGTTTGGAGAAATAGATCTCTATTTTACTACCACTTTTGTAGAGTTGTTTCTAATGTGGAGAATAATGGATACTTTCCACTTTTTTCCAATGTTTATAACTCAGAAATGAATTGAGTTCAAGGAATTTTAAATTGAAAACTCTCAAGTTGATGCGAAAATCGATAGAAGCTGTAAATTTTATTTCAATTGTTGAATGAAAATTGATAAATATCAGGAAAATTCAGGCAAATATATTCTTAAATTGTTAATTATTGCTTGGGTTGGGACACCACTGCAACGTAGCATTGTCTGTTGCATCTTTATTGTTTCTGGGGGGGCAGCGGTTTTATTGTTTTAGGGCTCAATAATTTAGGGAATACGTTGATGGCTATGATTTTTTTGTCATTATCTTTTGTCCTGACACCCTTTATTCCATCGAATTTCCATGAGATTGGAAACGCAAATTTCTATTTTACTACTTCTGCTGTAGAGTCGTTTCTAATGTGAGGAAAAATTGATACTTTCGACTTTTTTTCAATGTTTATAACTCAGAAATGAATTTATCAATTGAGTTCGAGGAATTTCGTCATTGAAAAGTCACAATTTAATGAGAAAATCAATGGAAACTGTTAACTTGGTGCCAATTGTTGGATGAAAAGTGATACAGATTTAAAAAATTCAGGTAAACATATTCTTGAATTTTCAATTAATGACCCTCGGTTATTGCCTGGGCTGAGACAACAGTGCGACGTAACATTGTCTGTTGCATCTTTATTGTTTCTGGGGGAGCAGCGGTTTTATTGTTTTAGGGCTCAATAATTTAGGGACTACGTTGATGGCTATGATACTTTTTTTGTCATGATCTTTCGTAGTAACACCCTTTATTCCATCGAAATTTATGAGTTTGAAGAAAGAGATTTATTACCACTTCTGTATAATTGTTTTGAATGGAGAAGAATGGATACTTTTTTTTCAATGTTTTAAACTCAAAAACAAATTTGTCAATTGATTGAAATTTGTCAAATAATTTGATGAGAAAATCAATGAAAGCTATAAATTAAATTTCAATTGTTCCACGAAAATTGATGAAAATCAGAAAAATAAAGACTCCGGTAAAGCTATTCTCGAATTTTCAATTATTGCTTGGATTGGGAAACCATTGCAACCTATCATCACCTGCTGCATCCTTATCATCCCCGGGGCAAGAGTGGTTTCATTGTATTAGGGCTCAATAATTCAGTAAATACTCCTTGAAATTTACGAGTTCACAAATACTTTAACCACTTCATTTTCAATTATAAGGAGCTCATTATAAACTATTCCAATTAATCATGAATTATTCCATGAATTATTGCATTATGAATCATTTTACAATTCGCTCTGAAATGAGTTTCTGAATTATGCACCGAAAAACGTCAATATCATACTACTATTTTCGTTTTTCCACCATCCAGGAATGACGTGGAAATTTCTCCTCAATATCATCACAATTATCATTATTATTATCAAAACAGGAAGTACAGGTTATGTATAAAAAATCCGGGAATTCCATTTAAAAAACAGCCCAAAACAGAAGAGTACAGCAAGCTAACCCAATTTATCTAGACGTAAAAAAAATTAAAATATAAATTTGGTTTTAAAAAATTGTCAATGTGGACACTGATCTTGAATTTGACCGCAAAAAAAAAACATTTTTCTCCCTTTCCGCTCTGAAATCCTCCTGTCATTTTGGAGCAGATTTAACGATTGACACTCACCTCGATATAATTTCCACCTCTCAATTATTTCCAAAATTCACTGGGCAATTTTGATGATTCAAATTTCAATGTTTGTTCACCTCGAAATGACAGTCAATTGCTTGCACTCGTGGCCACTGGCTTGCACGCCATTATGACTCAGCCGAGCGGTGAAAGTCGAACGGACGTGATGAGAATTACCAATCAGTGATTGATCAGGTCGAATTCCACCGGCACAATCACCCTCATTATCAGCCCATCGACTCCCATTTAATTTTTTTGGTTTACATACGATACGCGCGTACAAGTAGTGTCTTCTCTGCAACCGTCTTAAGGCCGAAATAGCTCAGCTGGGAGAGCGTTAGACTGAAGATCTAAATGTCCCCGGTTCGATCCCGGGTTTCGGCAGTTAATTTTTTTTTCCCCAAAACCAAAAAACCCAAACACCGCTCCAAACCATTTAAATACCTCCTCAAAAACATTGCACCAAAACACTGCTCCGAAAAAAAACTATCAACTCATCACCACCCAAAGATAAACAATCGCGATAAGAAAACAAAGGGGTGCTTCACGCCCGTCATTCCCCCCGAAAAATCCACAAAAGAAGATGAAAGTTCAATGCCCGAAAATTCCCCCGATTGACATTTGCTCCAAATCACATAACTCGAAACCCAAAAAAATTCTCGATAATAAAAATAAAACATTCCGCCTCTCGCGGCAGGAGACCTCCGCGAGCACAATTAAAAACACAAAAAAACCCATTAAAAAAACAACCGCTGGACCCACGAATTCGGGGACCACCAATTAAGCCAGTTTATTTTTCAACACCGGAAATGGGGTAAAATCGTGGGTACGGGCGCTTTGAAGATGGCGTTTTGTTGGTAATTCAAAAGGCGCGTTGATATCTTTCTGCCGACCGTAGGCGGTGACCATAAAGACGCCATCCCATCGATCCACGCTAGCTCCACCCAGTGATTCCCCTACTTCCCCCCCATCGCCCCTCTCTGCTCGACTGAAAAGACTTCTCGATGTTTTGGTCTCGTAAAAAAGATTTCTCGTTGGCTTCATTATACGCGAGGGGAAATAACGCGGAGTCTGTCGCAGTCGATCGTTTTTCGCACGCACGTGTGACTCTAGTATTCCTCGCCCGTCTACTCCCCCCTCCCCNCCATCGTCAACCGAGAGAGTAAAAAATCCGTGTAAATCGGGGTATTAATACCGTCGAGATGACAGGAGTGAAAAAATGCCTCTTCTTGCGTGGGCTGAAGACAAAACTCACTAGAATCCCGCGGTTGGCCTTTACCGATTAATAAATGGCAGTTGGCTTAACACGAGGCCTGCAGGCACCCACCAGTCATTAATAATCACGCTTCACGCATTGCGATTAGAAGTTGTTGTTTTTTATTCATTCGCATACGTGCGCTGGTTTCGAAGAAAATATTCAATGTTTCATAGTCAACTTGATATGTTTCTTGGAGGTGGGAGGGGGGTTTCTAATGGAGGTAAATTATAGGTTTTATTTGCGTAATTTGTTGGTACGTGAGGGTATTTTGAAGAAATGGAATAGCGGAGTGGTGGTCATTGCTGGGGTGATAGGTTGGTGAAGCGCTTGCGTAAGTTTTAGGTGAGATTTGTGTTTTGAGGAAATCGTGCGGTGGATTGAGCGGTCGATGCCCCGATTTTATTGATAAATCGGTATTTTTTGGGGCGGGGGTTCTAGTGGAGGTAAATTACAGGTTTTTAGTTGCGTAGTTTGTTGGTACGTGAGGGTATTTTGGAAAAGTGCATGTTCTTGCGTAAGATTTTCGTACGTAATACCACGAGAGCTTCAAAATTAGCAGCTATTTTCCGATAGGTTCGTTTGTATGGAGGGACCCTTGAGGAAAATACCTGATTAATTTTGAAACTTGAGTGGTATTCGGAAGAGAATTTTTTCGTCCGAATTTCGGTCAAGAGAATTGCATTATGAGGCAAAATCTATCTGTCAGTCCCAACGAAGGGCTCACTTGACCAGGAAATTTTGCGTTTTCCATATATATATATCAACATGAAAAATTACTAGTCGAATTATCAAAAAGTATTAGTTGAATTCCGTATTGACTATATAAAATAACAGTCGAATAGTGCAATTCTATTGGCTAAAATTTGGATGGGAAAAATTCTCGATGAAATTTGTGTTTTGAGGAAATCGTGCGGTGGATTGAGCGGTCAATGCCCCGATTTTATTGATAAATCGGTATTTTTTGGGGCGGGGGTTCTAGGGGAGGTAAATTACAGGTTTTTATTTGCATAGTTTGTTGGTACGTGAGGATATTTTCCGATAGGTTCGTTTGTATGGGAGGAAATACCTGAGGAAAATACCTGATTAATTTTGAAGCTTGAGTGGTATTCGGAAGAGAATTTTTCCGTCCGAATTTCGGCCAAGAGAATTGCATTATGAGGCAAAATCCATCTGTCAGTTCCAACGAAGGGCTCACTCGACCAGGAAATTTTGCGTTTTCCATATATATATCAACATGAAAAATTACTAGTCGAATTGGCAAAAAGTATCAGTTGAATTCCGTATTGACTATATAAAATAACAGTCGAATAGTGCAATTCTATTGGCTAAAATTTGGATGGGAAAAATTCTCGATGAAATTTGTGGGTTGAGGAAATCGTGCGGTGGATTGAGCGGCAATGCCCCGATTTTATTGATACATCGGTATTTTTTGGGGCGGGGGTTCTAGGGGAGGTAAATTACAGGTTTTTATTTGCATAGTTTGTTGGTACGTGAGGATATTTTCCGATAGGTTCGTTTGTATGGGAGGAAATACCTGAGGAAAATACCTGATTAATTTTGAAGCTTGAGTGGTATTCGGAAGAGAATTTTTCCGTCCGAATTTCGGCCAAGAGAATTGCATTATGAGGCAAAATCCATCTGTCAGTTCCAACGAAGGGCTCACTCGACCAGGAAATTTTGCGTTTTCCATATATATATCAACATGAAAAATTACTAGTCGAATTGGCAAAAAGTATCAGTTGAATTCCGTATTGACTATATAAAATAACAGTCGAATAGTGCAATTCTATTGGCTAAAATTTGGATGGGAAAAATTCTCGATGAAATTTGTGGGTTGAGGAAATCGTGCGGTGGATTGAGCGGTCGATGCTCCCAATTTATTGGTGAATGGTTATTTTCGAATGGAAGTGAATAATTGATAGGGAATTGGTAATTATTCATGGAATATGAATGATGGGAATTAGTTCTTGGTAGGAAATGAGTACTTCACTAATTGTTTAATGCTCCGAAATTGTTGGTAATTTTTTAGACGCGAGTTAGTTTTTCCGAGAACCGATAGTTTACGAATTCGAATTTATTCATTGTTATTTTATTAATTGAATAATTGATAAAGAATCATTCAAGAATTATGCACGGAGAGAAATATTCAATAATAATTACGTATCTTTTCCGTCACTTAAATTTTCTGAGTCGATTCCGTAATTCGTAATCCGTAGTTGGAACGTCAGATTTGAGGCGCAATCTTTTTTAGTGAATTAACACCTAGAGAGATAACTTAATGCTCTGAATCCACTAATGAATCGTTATTTTATGAATTGAAATTTTCAATTTGAAAGTATTATCTCCACAGGGAATTATTTGGTGCTTATTGCTGCATGACATGATTAAATACTCAGTTCATAGTTTAATGTTCCGAAATTGTTGCTGAATCATTATTCCACGAATTCAATTGAATAACTGATAACGAATCATTTAGTAATAATAATTGCCGCTTGATAACTGGTAGAACCCAAGACTTGAGACGCAATCCGACCGTTAAAGAATTAGATCCTGGAGAAATAGCTTAATGCTCCGAATTTGTTGATGAGTCGTTCCATGAATTCAATCCAATAACTGATAACGAATCATTTAGTAATAAATGCTGTGTGATTCGTTAGAAATTATAGTAGAACTCAAGATTTTAGTCGCAACCCGACTTTTGAGAGAATTAGATCCTGGAGAAATCACTTAACGCTCTGAATCCGTTGATTAATCGTTAGTTTATGAATTGAAAGGTATTATTTCGGCAGTGAATTATTTGGTGCTTATTGCTACATGACGGATAGTGCAAATGTTTACGTAAGAAATCAAACGCAGCTCGGCTTGAAAGAGAATTAAATACTCAATTCGTAACTTAAAACACCGAATTTGGTGACGAATCGTACGATTTTCCGTGAATTTAATTCAATAATTGATCGCGAATAATTTACGAATGAATGCTAAATGACAAATGCTGTAAGTTTTCACGTAAAATTCTAGACGCACACAGAGAGAAATATTCAATAAGAATTACGTATCTTTTCCGTACACGGAGAGAAATTTTTTAGAAAAATTCTAGTGCTAGCACGGGAAAAGAGGCGCAAAGTGACGGCCAGGAAAAAATTCCAGTGCCGGCACTAGAAATTTTATTGGGGAAAACGTGAATTTTTCCCCGTATTTCTGTGAAAATTCCACAGAAATCCCCAGAAATGCCAAGAAATTTTACCTTAACAGCACTAAAATTTTTCACGGCCGGTGAATTGTTATTTTTTCCAGTACTTGTACTAGAATTTTTCTAGAAAATTTCTCTCCGTGTAATTCCGAAGCGCAATGTGGTTGTAGGAAATTTTGCGGAACTGTCACGGAATTTTTCCAGTGTTCCGTATCGTAAACTATGAGCGAACTGTGAGTTCCGTGATTTTTACTTAACATTTTTCTCCGTGCAGACCCGACGACCTGGCGCAGTGGGTAAGAGGGTTGCCTCACATGCGAGAGGTTTCGGGTTCGATTCCCGGTCGGGGAGAATGGTGATGATCTAAGCATTCAAAGTCATGATCAAGCGGCCGCTACAATAGATCTTGATAGATTTAGGTGGCATAGGGCGCTTTGTACGCCTAGTCGCTCCATTCCAATTCTAATTCTCCGTGCAATTGAGTTGTTGTACAAATTTTTTCAAGTAATAAAAAAAAGTTAGTAAACAAAATGATGGCTAACAAGAAAATGCAATTTTCGAGGGATTAAATACTCAAACAATAGCGTAATGCTCGGTATTTATGGAGAATTCATTATTTCATTAATTAAAATTAGTATTGAATTGTGGATTGCTCGGTAATTATTCTTTAGAGATATTGCATAAATGCTTCTGTATAAATTTATATGAAATTTTATTGTTCAGGGAGTTGAATGATTGCGTGATGGCC